AATGAAGAGGTGGGTCAGTCACTTGAATTGTCCCACAGGACCTGTTGGGCAAGTCCTGTTTTTTCTAGGCTGACAAGCCTAGGAGTACTGATGGAAATAAACCCATAGTTCCTGCTGTTATTATGTCTTCAGGTTGTTCATAGTCATCAGATCTCCCTGTTTATAGTGTTTGTCTTGGCTGGGACCCTACTGTGTCTCTGGGTGTCCCACAGGCCCCCTTAATTTTCTCCAGGTTGGGGAGGACTTATTGACATTCTCCTCAACCTACCTGATATTCTCTGTGTAGAGGAAGGACTCACCCACCTACTTGCCAAGCTCACCTATGGCCTACTTCTGGAGGGGGCTTTGCTGTTGCTCTTGTTTACCCACTGAAAGTGGCAAACTCTATTCCTACTTTAGGGGTAAACTCACCTCACTGATGAAAGCCTGCTGAGTTCTTCTTACTGAGTCTTCCCTTGATACTGCATGGTTAATCCACTGCAATCCAAGGTTCTGTGGGGAGGTGTGGGATCTGAAGATCCACAGCAATACTAGGTCCAGGAGGGGGAGTTCCCAATGGCAGCAGTGGGACTTCAGGGGCATACAACACGAGTTACTAGGTTCTGAGGTGAGTGTCCAGGACTGCAGGGATGTGGGTGCAGCCTGGTTCTGGCCTGGCCTGCCCAAGCTGCCACTGGCAGGAGTTCCTGTGTCCTGCAAGATGGTTTGCCCAGATGTTGGGGGTTGCAGGAGGGGCCTGGGTCTGGTCCGGCCCCATGTGCACCACTGGCTGCAATTCTTGGGTCCCACGAGGTGTTCTGCTTAGACAGCAGGAGTCACAGGAGAGGCCCAGGTCTAGTCTGGCCCTGTGTGCACCCCTGGATGGAGATACCCGATCCTGCAAGGTCCACATTCTCTCATTTTGAATACCACTAAGTTTTTTGTCTGGATATCAAGCAGTCTTTCTCTGGTTGCCAAATGATGGACTGAAGTGTCTTTCCTGTCCAATTAAATCTTTCATGTTCTAGCTTAAGTTCATTTTCTTTTTGTTTACTTTTACAAGTTTCACATTAGAATCTTTGGTACTGAAGGGATTGTTGAACTTTTGCTCCTACCCTTGCTCTAAGGGTCTTACCTATTCATGTGTCTCAGGGGCTTAGAATTCCACTTTAGTTCAGAGATTTATAAGCCTTTTTCTTTTTAATGAGTTTTCGGAGTTATTCCAGAATTAAGTATATACATAAATCCATAGGATTCCTGTGTCTTCACTCAGGCCACCATAACACTTACCACACTTCAGGTGGGTGACATTTATTCCTCAGAGCTCTGGAGATTCAAAGCTCAAGATTAAGGTGCTTGGGCTGAGGATTTAGCTCAGCAGCATAAGCGCCTGCCTTGCAAGCAGGCAGTCGTGAGTTCGATCCCCGGTACCGATAAAAAGGAAAAAGACAAAAAAAAAAAAAAAAAAAAAAAAGATTAAGATGCCTGTGTTATAGAGGTAAGCATAGCTACCTTCCAAGATCAAGGTGCCCACTGACCTCTGGTGAGGCTCCTGATGAGGACTCTTTCTCATTTACAGACAGCAACTTTCTCACTGCCCTCACATGTTGGAGAGAATGAGCTCTTATTATAAGTGTCTCTAATAAAGATGCCAGTCTGGTCATGATGGGGCCTCACTCTCATAACCTCCTTGAGCTTTTATTAACTCCTAGGGTTGATTTTGAAATACTATCACATTGGGGATTAGGACTTCAATAGGTGAACTTGGAATCACTCTGTCTATAGCACTGCACTCGATGTGTAGCAGGTTCTTTGTATAAACATTGTTGAATGAATCAACCAGATAATGTGAGGCTACCATTTGAATTCCTCTTCATGGACACCAACCTGCCTTTGTAAACACAAACTCATACCAAGTCCTTTGAGCTAGACTCCTGAAAACTAACCATTCCAATTGTTTTCTCTGGTTTATATCTTGCTTGGCAAACCTTTCTTTGCCCTTAGCAAAGAAGGTTTCTGTTGTGCAAGTTGTGACAATGTGCCTCACAGACAGTAGTTACCTGTTCTTCACTGCAGCCTTGGATGACAGTCATCTCTACCCATGTGTTGCTGATGAGGAAGTGGGAAGAATCTTGCTCAGGGTTCCTTCATAGCATCAACACTCAGCAGAGCTGGGTCTAGGTCCCTAAGCTTTGCCCTATACTCCAGCCTGTGGCAACTTGGACTCCAAAGGACTTTGAGAGAAAATGTCTTGGGACATTTGCAATCCCATGCAGCTATCCTATCTAAGTCAAACAGTGCTTTACAATGTGTAGTGGGGCCTGATAAAAGGTAAACAGAGAGGGAGGTCTCAGGCAAACAGTGGGACATGAGAAAAAAGTAGGATCTGAGGAGAAACTATCAAGACATCACCTGATAAGGGGGATATGCCCACAAACAAACCATCACCCCAACTGCCAGTCCCACTGCATGTGTATGAATAAATGCCCATCTACTAAGCCAGCCATAAAATTACTACACTTTGGATTTTGTTATTTCCTTTTTTCAACTCTGACCCCACTTTTTTTAACTTTAAAAAGAATAAAATCAAACAAAATAAAACACAACAGAACAAAGCCAATCAAAATATAAAGCAGTGAAAAGTGATAAAGGACTTCAAAATAAGATAATAGGAAATCAACAATGGCTACCACCTCTTGTTATCTTCAAAATAGGTGCCCATCCCATTAGACTCTGATCCCATTCTAACTACGCTTTGAAGTCATTTTTGGTCATTCTAAGTGATAAAGGAACTCATAGGCTTGAATTGAGTGTTGCATTTTCTAGGGGTGGCTGCTTCCTAAGATGTGAACCATATGACTTCTCTAAGCCACCTGTGTTACTGGGGGAAAAAGAGCCATGTGGAGATACAGTGACACTGTTTCCACTTTGACAACAGTGACAGGTGGCTATAGAGCAAAGATGGAGGAATATTGTTCTGCTCCCTTTTCTATGACTCTCTGGGTATCTTCAACAGAATCTCATTCAGTAGTTGTTATCAGTAGGATTGGTTTTTCAGCTCCACATTCAATCAGGCCTTGAATTCACAGTGATCATTTCAACAAAAATACTACCTGACTTAAATGTCCATATTTCCAGGCTTGGTGGCACACAACTATAATCCCAGCACTTGAGAAGCTGATACAGGATGATCACTGTGAATTCAAGGCCAGCCTGGACTACACAGTGATGCTTTGTCTCAAAAAAACAAAACAAAATAAAAACCAAACAAGCAGACCAACAAAATGTATCATCAAGTTACCCTAAAGGCTAATAACTCCCATACTTATATATCAATCCAAACCAATTATCTATTGCAAATAACAAGTCACTGAAAATTTAGTGTCTTAAAGCAATAAGAATTTGGTGAACTCAGAAATTCTCATTTTGAATAGGCTCAACAAGGAAGGCTTATTGCTGATCCAGGGTCTGTGGCCTCACTGGAAGGACTTGAAGACTGGGGAGTGCCAACTAGGGGGCTCATCTGGAGGAGCCTATGCACATGTCTAACTGTCAGAGCCATTCTTCAGCTAGGCCTTCATCATGGGTCACTTGGCCTGGCCTCTCAGTGTGGCCTGGGCTTCCTCACTACATGTGCCCAGTTCCCAACACTGAGCATCCCAAAGAGAGAAAGAGAGCTAGGTAGAAATTGTAGCCCCTTATGACTTAAACTCAAAGCAACCATGGCATCCCTGTGCTATGCTCTATTTGCCATCATTCATTCACTCAGTTATTCACAAATATTTGGTAGATTGCTTACTTTGTAAAAGTTGTCTTCTAGTGCTGGGGAAGTGGAAATGAATAGAACACCAAAAAGTAAAATTCCCACACTGTTGGAATTTACACACCAGCAAAAGAGGTATGCAACCAATAAATAAACATGTGAAATATATGGTATGCTAAATGGTGAAAATTACAAAGGATAAAAATGTATCCACAAAAGGAGGAGAGTGTTGGAGTTTGCTTGACAATTTCCATAGTTCAGCCATAAAGGATTTCATTGATAAGGTGACAAGAGCAGAGACATGAATGAGATGAAGACACAAGCCATGAGGATGCTAGGGAAAGAGGTTTCCAGGCAGAGGAAATAGCAAGTAGTATGAGGCCCTTGAAGGACAGCACACTCGGTGTGTCTGAGGAACAGGATGCCACCAGGGCTGCAGGAGTAAGCAAGGAGTGGAGGGAGAAGAAGGTTCACCTGCGCCTTGCCCACATACAACAGGGGACCTGTCTCTGCCAGCTATAAATTTAAATCTGAAAATCCAGATTTGTAGAATTACAGAATGAGAGACACAATGTGTGGCAGGCAGCAGAACACAGAACCTCAGGGAGGGTGAGGAAGTGGCCTTCAAGTGGCCTTCCCTTTTTGCAGCCGTGACATCTTTGGGGAGGTCTTGTGGGAGGGTAGAGGGTTAATAATCTCCCTGACACATCTTACCTACTTGTAAGCTGAAGTCATTCTGGACTCATTTGATCCCTGGAAGACAATTTCTTCTTTCTCTGTAAGACTGCAAGCTGCTCTTTCAGAGCAGGCTGAGGTGAAGTTGCCTATGGATATGTATCCTTATGAAAAGTGGCCCCTGCATTGGTTTGTGGGAAGTAAAAGGCCTCACCATGGCAGCATTTTCAATGGCCTTCTATCAGCTGGGCTGCTGTCCTAGGCTTGGCCTTGGAAAGAAACAGATAGAATCTCCTTTGTTGGCAGAGATGAGTGATCAGATCCATGGAGGAGCAAGAGAACAGGGAGAGAGTCGCTTCCCTCCTGGGCTACTTGTATTTTCTTCACTCTTGGAAAGATCTCATCTCACTCTGCAGGAGGTGGGGTGTTGATGCCATCAGGGGTGACGGATGACATGTCATTTGAGACGCAGATAACCGGGCCAGAGTGTAGTCAATCAAGAGAGTAAGCATCTCAGCAGAGTGAACAGGGAGGGGTGGGTGGATTCGAGTGTCTTAATGACCTTGCATGCTTCCTCCCTCAGGTTGCCCTGAAGATGCTTTTCACTGGGGAGCCCATTTCTGCCCAGGAGGCCATGCTCCATGGGCTGCTCAGCAAAGTGGTGCCGGAGGAGCAGCTGGAAGAGGAGACTATGAAAATAGCAAAGAAGATCGCCTCTTTAAGCCGCCCTGTGGTGTCCTTGGGCAAGGCCGCCTTCTATAAGCAGCTGTCCCAGGACCTTAGAACAGCCTACAGCCTAACCTCCCATGTCATGGTGGACAACCTGGCATTGCAGGATGGGCAGGAGGGAATCGAGGCTTTCATACAGAAGAGAAAACCCATCTGGTCACACTGAGCCAGCAGTAACAGAGGAGCAAAGGATGCCTGAGCACTCAAGAAGCACCCTCTGGCCTCACTCTGACCCCGCCCCCACCACTGCTATCTCCCAGTTGTAGCAGAAGACAGCTGTGCTTTTAAAGTGCTGCTAGTAGTTTCACAGCATGCGGTCTGCATTAACAGCTGTGATTCCATGGGAAAGGATAAGAGGACTGAAAATGAAGAGCTAATTCAGTGACAGGTCAGGAAGCACCCATGATGGGCCAGCTGTGGCAGAAACCCTGGCATCTGACTTACTCCTTCATAGCACCCTAAGTGATGGACCTCTTGTATAAGGTGACAATCAAGTGAGGCACAAGGGAAGGTTGGCAGCCTCTTATCAGCAATGTCCTCAAAGGCAGAGTCAATTCTCATAGCTCATGACAGATGAAATATTTCAAATCTCCGTGGGATGTTCACTGAAAATCTTGATTTTACCTGGAAATAATGATGCCTGTGTCTTTGGAATAATCTTACATGATTTAAATAAATTAAACATGTATAGAGACTGGTCATTTTATCTTCCCAACCGGACTGCAAACTAAGAAAAAAAGTCAGTGAACTCTATGTCCACTTTGATGGGCATTTAGTAGGTGCCTCATATTCTCTGTCTTTGTCCTCCAAGTTTCAGTGAAACCAGGACTGCAGGCTTAACCTGAGGGTAAAATAGCAAAAGGCAGGGATGCGGGACAGAACACACATTCTTCTCATCAAGGGTCCCCACCTCTAGATATATTTCTGAACTCTGCTCAGCATCTAGTAAACTCTTGACTAAACATCAGGCATTTGAATTCCCCAGCTGAACAAGAGTTTGGCTAGGTAAGAAACATACTACTTTTGGACTTTTAGTCTAGTACAGCCCCCCCTCCCCAAATTTCCAAATCTCTTATCTTCACACTTGCCTATAAAGCTTATTTTTTTTCTTTTTCACTGATGTTGGAGATCAAAGCAAGAACCTCATGCATGCCAGGAAATTCTCTACCACTGAGCTATCCTCCCAGACCTAACCTTTTTTGTTTTTCAGTGCTGCACACTGAACCCAGGGCCTTCACACTGAGCTACACTACCAGATGTTTTTTAATTGTTTATTCTGAATCAGGGTCTCTATAAGGAACTAACTGTCCCAGACTGGGCTCAAATTCATGATCATCCTGCTTCCACCACACTGCTTTTTGAAAAAAAAAAAAAAAAAAGGTTAACTTATTTTCCTAAGAGTATAGTGAAGCCATAACTTTGACTAACGCCACTTCTGAAGATAAACGATCAGATAGATCTAACCTGTGGTTTCCACTCTGATTACTGGGGTAAGCACCCCATGGTATAGCTGTTTCCAGGTACTGTCACAGGTTCTGTTGAGATTGGCAGGAGTTTTCTTTTCAGATTTTACAAAGGTAGAAAGTCATGTGCCATTTGTGGACTTCCATAATGGCCTGGCTCCTCTGCACTACTTTCATTTAATCCTCACAAGAGCATTGTAGAGTAAGTACTGTGATGATCTCCATCTCACAGGTAAGTAGTTGAGACCCACATTACACACTTTGTCCAATGTCAAATAGCTAGGACTGGAGTGGCAGGAGTAGCCATGTCTGTCTAATATAATAAAGCCTACAGATGTGTTTCCTTCACCATACTGTCCCATCCAGAATTAGTAATCTGTCTTAATCCAAACACTTCCTCTATTGGAAAACTCATATGCTTGATGCTAAGCAGAATTTAGAAAGTGTGTCTAAAGAGGTGACTCCTAATGGGTAGATGTGTGTTCTGTCTCCCTTCTATCACTTTCTGGGTTGCTGGGAGGCTAGTCAGGGTCAGCAAGCACAGAGAAATGGCTATCTTGCTTCACAGCAGTGTTCCCAAGCAAGGGTCTGGACCAAGTCCTCCTAGCTTCGTGGATTTGCTAGATCTGATTATTGGAGAAAGAAGTAAAGCTGCCTCACACATTTGACAAATGAAAATCAAAGTTAATGTCCCTGTTTGTTTATGAGCATGCATCACTGCTACAAATTATAAAATCTTTAAGCTTCCTAGCTGGTTTTGCAGCCTTCCAGCTGGTGTGCACTCAGAGACTAACAATAAATTTTAGTAGACACCTGAGCAGAAAAAAATCCAGAAACAAAATCTTCCACTCATCTCCTGGTTTTCATATAATTTTTCCTATGACAAAAATAAATTCTGCGTTTATTTGTTTCTTTGATTGTTTTCATCAGGATGTTGAGTGAATTTTTTTATAACTACACATGATGATTGCTTTTGGAAAACTTAATGTATTCATTTTTCCCTCTACTATTTACTTGTGGGGAACTGATCTGAGCCATACCCCAACCATACCCCAGCAAGTTCAGGGGCTATAAAATAAGTGCAATGGGTACTCACTTTTACCTGCCTCACTGAGGTCATTCAAGACTGCTTTGGCCCCTGGATAATATAAACATATGATGCTAATGACAGAACATCAGCACCCTGATTGATTTTTCACTAGAAATTTTGAGGTAGGCTAAAACCATACCTAGACAGTGGGTTGTCTTATCTACCATGTTAAATATGAGAGTTGGAGAAAAGCACTGATTTGACTACCCATTCTAAGTTCTGGTCCCAGCTGTGTAGATTCATGCAAATGAGGTAGCTTCTGTGAGCACTTGGTTTCTCTTCCTATATAAGTTTCTGTGAGATAGGATACAAGATACAAGACAGGGAGAAGACAAGGAAATTGTAATTTTAAAATTCTGCTTTAGAATATAAAGTTACACAAGCTTATTTTTACCATTCCAGGAAAATCACACTAAATAATCATAAAGAATCTTAAAAATATAGTAAGCTTCTAAATTAGGCCTGTGCTTTTCACTTGTAAATTGAGCCTCCTATCCAATAAATTCACAGACTCCACAGACTTCTACTGCCAAAGAAAATGTAAACTTTAATACATAGAGATGATTTGCATTCTAACCTCGCCCACTGATAGGTAATCTGACTGACAGTAGGAATACACATCCTAGATCACCATCCTCAACAGCACATAAATACTGCCAGTCCCAGACCATAATGGTTCTCAACTCTGAGCACCCCTACTCCTGAATGTGTACTCTTTATGCCTCACACTGACACATCCTGAAAATCTTTTTCTCTGGTGGAAGTAAATGAACCTGGTGCCTACTCCAGGGGTGGGGCAAACTGAGGTTTCTGTCTTCTCTTTTAAAGAACATCGTCATCACATCCAAAGACAGAAGAAGTACAGCTTTTTATGATGAAATAACATGCAGGTGCAGTTGCAGCAGGCTTGGAGAAAAATGTGAAGAGACTTCAGAATAACCAGGATCCTTTTAAAATCTTGCCACTTAAGCATATTGAGCCACCCTCATGAGTAGTTACCTTCATGGGGTATTCATGTCTTTGGAAGCACTACTCCTATTACATTAACCATCGCAATACATCCATATCCCACACTTAACTTTAATATTTAGGCCAAAATTTTAGTAGTTTGATTTTTAAATGATCTTTTAAATATTTGTGAGTTTTTGGCAATAAAGTATGCAAGTATTAAAGAAATTCTGTAGATATTTAAGAAAATAGTAAATTTCAATCTTGCAAGGATTTTTCTTTCATCTTTGAGCATTCAAAATATATTTTTTCAGGTCCCAAACAGAGCTCATGGTAAGCTATGTCACATCTGGCAGGCCATTTCTGTAGTGTCTGTAGTGTCTTTTTCATGGAAAGTCTCTAGATACTGGGTGGTGCAGGGGAGGTGGCCATTCCCCAGAAAATAGGGTAGGAGGAAACAGGGAAACTGAGTTGAGTGGATCTGATATAGGGGAAAATAAATGTAATTCCCAACCTATTCGATGTCCGATATGCTGGTTCACATTCCTCAAAATCAAAGAATGAATTCTGAGAAAAAACAGAAGTTAAGAGTAGAAAAATTTACTGGGTAATAGGAATAGCTCCTGAGAGAGAGAAAGGGTCCCAAGTGTGTTGCCATGGACTCCATCTTACAAGTTTTATAGAGCAGATTCATGAGGTGGATACAAAATCACAAGGTAGGTACAATATGGGATAAAACTATGATCAACCAGTAAGATTAAAAGGTTAGCCATTTAGGTAATATAGATCTAAAGGGGAAGCAGGCCATGCAGCAAGTATATATGGAAAGAACAAGGACATTTTTAAAAAGAGACAAACCAGGGGTTTCCAGCCACCTGCTGGGGCAACTGATGTTAATGTTGATTTACTGTTTATCTCTTGGGAAGGCATGTAAGCCTGGTCATTTTGCCTTTATCTTGAGGCCTTCAGGATGCACCTCTGGCCACAGTTATAATGTGTTCTCATCTTTTGCACTGACTCCCTGGAGGGCTCAGTCCTGTCTGACTGCCTATAATATTTCTACCTAACTGTCTATAATATTCCACCCTCTAAAGAGTTAACCCAACTGCCACGAGAAGGCAATGGGTAATGACCATTCTGTCTACTTATGACTGAACTGGGTTGAATCGTGACAGTCTACAGAGGGTCTATCTAAAGGCCCTTGATAGACACCAAGCATTCTCATTTTGGGCAGGCGTATAGCTTTAAGTCTAGAAGAGACAAGGCCAAAAAAAACAGGTACATATTCAAGGGCCAAATAATATGAACTGGACTACTATGAATATAACCAACAGTTGTTTCCACCAGGAAGAGTCAGTAATAGCCTCCCACAAAGAGGGAAAGGAGAAGGCCCAGGAGATTTTAGAATCCCTCATGACATTAACACATAGTTTTATCTTGACAGCCATCAAGATATTAGCAGAAGGATCAGGAATATACACACAGTATTCAGATTTTATAATCGCACAAGTAGCCTCTTGTACAATTCTTAGAATGTCTAATGCCATTTTATTTTGAAGGACAGCTTGCTTCATTAATCTTACTTTGTTTAGGAGAGAGAGACCAGTCAAGGTGTCATTTAAAGCCCATTGATTATAGCTAGCTAAGGCCTCAATATGTTGCATGACATCCTATAATCCTAGGGAAGGGACAAATATAGAAGCCAAATGATCATACCAGTGAATCACACTTCTAAACTATCAATGTTACAGACAGGATAACTTTGCAAATTTCCATCCAAAGGGTAGCCAGGGCCACAAATTCATTCCACAGGATCAGTGAGTACCATTTGGGGCTTCCCATCTAACTCCAGGGTGGTTGAACCAGTTTTTTGCAAACCAGTTTAAACCTTTAAAGTTATGGTGTGTATACACTGCTCAAGGAGTGCCCATCTTAAGTATTTAGTAGAGTTAGACAAATAAGAATAAGAGTGACACTTTTGTTCCTAAGAGGGCCTTTTTACTAAGTTGTCTTATAGTTGGAATTAACTATATATAATCATCCCATATCTAAATATAATTAGCTCTCATGATATGACCCTTACTCTTACGTAATAGAGGTTCTACTAGAATCTATAGAGAGGAAAAAATTTGACTATCCAGAATCACTAAGGGTGTAGTTTATTTTTTTAAGGGGAAACCATTTATTTAGCTC